GCCGCGCCATCCCCAAACAACGCACAGAGACTCTGGATTTGATATTACGCTGTTGGCCAGGTACTTGTTTCTTATCGGCTAGCTCTGTCTTAAGTATTAACCCATTCCTATGTATTTCCACATGGTAGCGGAGGAATGGCGGTTCTGTTCTCTCCAGACTCTCCATGCTGACTCCTCCTCCCTACTTCCTCTTTCCTCCTCGTCTCCTAGTCCCACCTATCTTCCTTTCCTATTGGCCAACAGTGCTTTATTCATTAACCAGTATGAGAAACTTACACAGAATGACATCTCCCATCACAAGGGAGAAGGCCAACAAAAAATGCTGTTTAAAATAATTACTCTAAAAATGTTTAAAATGATTATCTGTGGATTAAAGGATATAGATCTCTCTCTCTCTCTCTCTCTCTCTCTCTCTCTCTCTCTCTCTCTCTCTGTCTGTCTCTCTCTCCTTTCCTCCTTCCTGTTTATCTAAGATTTCTGTTAAAAATAACATATACTTTTTGAGTGAAACTTTTGTTACTCTAACAGCTCCAGTTGGTGAATTAATGATAAAAGAAGTTTCCCACACTCTGTCCCTAGCTGCGAACACTCCTAAGGTCACCTTCCTGCCCCTGTGTAGTTCCTCGATATCCTGTGGAAGATGGCCTGTGGAAGGGTCTGGCATGATTTTCACAAGCTGAGACCAGACATGGTTGTTGATTAATTAGCCAGCTCTGGGCAGCAACCACGCCTTGAGGAGGAATAAATTCCCAAAGTAATTCCCAGAAAGGGAGGACAGTCAATTATAAAACTTAACACCTAGACACACACCACCCCTCTAGCAAGCAAGCTAAGAGGCCAGCTCCAAGCTCTGGTGGTCCAGGAATGGGCTAAGCTGATGCACTTCAATCCTTGTCCCCACAGTATAGTTTTCATCTCCAAAAAGCACAGTCTCTCTAAGAATCTTCCAAGTAAATATTGTGTCAAATGTCAGACATGAGTAGGACGTCTGGTATCATTTTGCTTGCAGGAGCCCGAAGTTAGAACTCAGATGGCTGTACTCCGGAAGCCATGGTGGTTCTTTCCCTCATACTCGACTTCCCTACATTGGCTAGTCATGCTTACAACATGGGACACCCCCCCCCAGCCAGGTTCAAACTCCCATTTTGGGGCACTGAAAACACCCGAGACCTCGGTTCCATCAGGAAAGTAGGAGAAGATAACAAGAGCACAGGTTGGAGTAAAACCTTTAGTAAACATTTAGTATTAGAATTTCCTGTGGGAAGTTGGAAGAGGAGGAAAGGCCAATCCTCAAACCACTCATAAAAGTCAACCCCATGAGCACTAAAGAAGTAAGTGTGAACCATGAGCCATGAGCGTTCTAGAAAGTAACAGAATATTTCCTTGACCTTGACGTAGGCAAGCATTTTTAAGGATATAAAAACGGAGTATAAAACACAACAATCATAAAACGAAAGACTGAGTCATTGTAGCTCATTGACATGAAGGATTCCTCAGGGCTGGGGATGCACCTCAGGTGGAAAAATCTTTGCCTAGCACTCATAAAGGTGCACACCTATACTCCCAGCACCCAGGAAATGGAGGCAAGAAGATCAAAAGTTCAAATTCATCCTCAGCTACAACATACTTTTGGGGCCAGCCTTGGCTTCATGAGGCACTAAGAGGAATGGAGGCAGACTGAGCACCTCCCCAAGTATTAAGCAAGGCTGAGCAAGTGTGAAGAGTAGGGTCCCAAAAGCCTGTACGTAAGTCAGAAACAACCCCTACTTCCACTGTTAGGAGTCCCACAAGAGGACCGAGCTACACAACGGTAACATGTATGCAGAGTGTCTAGGCCAGTTCCATGCAGGCTCCCTGGCTGTCTGTTCAGTCTCTGTGAGCCCCTCTGAATCCAGGTTAGTTGAATGTGTGAGCCTTTCTGTGGTGTCCTTGACACGGCTGGCTCCTACCCTCCTTTCTTCTCCTCCTCTGCAGGATTCCCAAGCTTCACCTAATGTTTGGCTGTGGATCTGTGTCTCCCTCCACCTTTCTGATGGCAATTGGGGCAGGCACCAATCTAGTCCCAGGAGATGGCCGATTCAGGCTATGTATCTGCTATTGCTAAGAGTCTGAGCTGAGTACTCTCTGTTGACTCCTGGGAAGTTCCCCGGAACCAGACTTCTACCTGACCCTCAAAATGCCAACCAGCAGTCCCTCTCGAACTCTCCCCCTCCATCCTCCCAACCTGATCACGAACATTCACATCCCCACCCACCCTCAGTCCACTCACAAAATCTCTTCCCCTTCCCAGGGAGATCTCTCCTTGTGACCTAGTCTCTCTGGGTCTCTGGATTATAGCATTGTTATCCTTTATTTTACAGATAATATCCACTTATGAGTGAGAACATACCACGTTTGTCTTTCTGAGTCTGTGTTATCTCATTCAGGATTTTTTTTTCTATTTCTACCCATTTGCCTTTAAATTTCCTGGTGTCCTTGTTTTTAACAGCTGAATAATACTCCATTGTGCAAATGTACCACATTTTCCTTATTCATTCCTCAGTTAAGGGACATCTATGTAATTTTCAGGTTCTTGCTATTACAAATAAAGGTGCTATGAACATAGTTGAGCGAATGTCCTTGTGGTATGATTGAGCATCCTTTAGGTATATTCCAAAGACCATATCTGGGTCTTGTGGTAGATCGATTCCTAGTTTTCAAAGAAACTACTACACTGACTTCCAAAGTAGGTGTACAATTTTGCACTCCCACCAGCAGTGGAGGAGTGTGCCCCTTGCTCCACAACCTCTCCAGTGTGAGCTATTGCTTGTGTTTTTTATGTTAGCCATTCTGAAGGGTGTAAGATGGAATCTCAGGGTTGTTCTGATTTGTATTTCCCTGAGAGCTAAGGTTGTTGAACATCTAAGTGTTTCTCTGCCATTCAAGATTCTTCTCTTGAGAATTCTCTATTTAAATCTATATCTATTTTTCCCCATTTTTACTTGGATTATTTGGTTTCTTGAGTTCTTTTTATATCAGCCCTCTGTTTATAGTGTCCATTGCCTTACAGAAACTTTGCAGTTTCATGAGGCTCCATTTATTAATTGTTGATCTTAGTGCCTATGCTTTTGGTATTCTCTTCAGGAAGTTGTCTTCTGTGCCAATGTGTTTTGAGATTTTTTTTCCCCCTACTTTCTCTTCTGTCGGGGCAGTGTATCTGGATTTATGTTGAGGTCTTTGTTCCATTTTTTGTGTTTTGTACAGGGTGATAAATATGGATGAATTTGCATTGTTCTACACCCCAATATCCAGTTAGACCAGCACCGTTTGTTGAATATGCTTTATTTCTTCCATTGTATAATTTTGTCTTCTGTGTTGAAAACCAGGTGTCCATAGGTGTGTGAATTCACATCTGGCATCTGGCTCTTTGATTCAATCCCATTGATCTACCTGTCTAATTTTGTTCCAAAACCATGTTGTTTTTATTACTATAGCTATATAGTAGAGGTTCTTTTATTGTACCAGATTGTTTTAGCTATCCTGAAAATTTTTGTTTGTTTTTCCATATGAAGTTGAGTATTGTTCTTTCAAGGTTAACACAAAGAATTGTCTTGGGATTTTAATAGAGATTGTGTTGAATCTGTAGATTGCTTTTCAGAAGGTGGCCATTTTTACTATGTTAATTCTACTGATCCAATGAGCATGGGAGATCATTCCATCTTCTGATTTCTTCAATTTATTTTTTCAAAGACTTGAAATTCTTGTCATACAGGTCTTTCACTTGCTTGGTTAGAGTTACCCCAAAATATTTTATATTATTTGAGGTTATTGTAAAAGGTGTTGATTCTCTGATTTCTTTCCCAGCCCGTTTTTTTGTTTTTGTTTTGTTTTGTTTTTTTGTTTTGTTTGTTTGTTTGTTTGTTTGTTTGTCTTCAGTTAATCCTGTATCTGGCCACTTCACTAAAGCTATTTATCAGCTGTAGGAGTTCCCCAATAGAGTTTTTGGGGTCACTTATGTATACTACCATATCATTTGTGAATAATGAATCTTTGACTTCCTCCCTTCCAAATTGTATCCTCTTGATTTCCTTTAGTTGTTATATTGTTTTAGCTAAAACTTCAAGTACTATATTGAATAGATGTAGAGTGGACAGCCTTGTCTTATCCCTGATTTTAAAGTGGAATTGCTTTTGAGTTTCTCTCCATTTAATTTAATGTTGGCAATTAGCTTGTTGTATATTACTTTTATTATGTATAGATATGACCTTTGTATGCATCATCTCTCTAAGTATTTTATCATGAAGGTCTGTTGGATTTTGTCAATGGTTTTTTTCAGCATCCAAGATGATCATGTGGGTTTTTTTTTTTTTCCCGGTTTGTTTATATGGTGAGTTACACTGACAAATTTTCATATGTTAAACCATCCTTACATCTCTGGGATAAGACCTACTTGGTCATGATGGACGATGTTTTTAATATATCCTTGGATTGAGTTTGCCAGTACTTTATTGAATATTTCTGCATCTATGTTCATGAGTGATTCTCTTTGTTGAATATTTGTGTGGTTTGGGTATCGGGGTGACTGTGGCCTCATAGAAAGAATTTGGCAATGATCCTTCTGTTTCTATGTTGTGGAATAATTTGAAGAGCATTGGCATTAGCTCTTTATTGAGCTGGTAGAATTCTGCACTAAAACTGTCTAGCCCTGGGCTTTTTTTGCTTGGGAGACTTTTAATGGCTGCTTCTATTTCCTTAGGGGTCAGTGTCTATTTAAATTGTTTATCTGATCTTGATTTAACTTAGGCAAGTGGTATCTATCAAGAAATTTGTTCCTTTATGTTAGGTTTCTAATTTTGTAGAGTCAGGTTTTTTTTTTTTTTTTTTTTTTTTTTAATGATTCTCTGATTTCCTCAGAGTCTGTTGTAACCACATTTTGTTGACTTAGATATTCTCTCTCTCTCTCTCTTCTCTCTCTCTCTCGTCTCTCTCTCTGGGCCATTTAGCTACTTTGGATAAGGGTTTTAAAATACGAGTGCTTAACAAATTTGTGTTTTATCCTTGCACAGAGGCCATGCTAATCTCTGTATCATTCCAACTTTAGTATATGTGCTGCTGAAGCAAACACTCATAAAGGCTATTTTAAGGTCTTCGTATTGTGCTACAGCTATGTTGGAATTCTCTGGGCCTCCTGTAGTAGAACAGCTGGGCTCTAATGGCTGTTACTGATGGTGTTTTTATGCTGCCACCTAGGTCCTGGGTTTGAGATGATTATAATTCTAGGTGCTAAAATCTGGTCCTGTCTTTGTTGAGTGGGTGTTTTGTTCCTTGGTTTCTGTTGCCCTCTCTGGTTCCTGGGAGAGTGTGGTGTCTGAGCGTTGTCTGGTAGGTAATTCTTCTGAGATCCTGCTAGGTATGGCCACTGGGGACTCCCAGTAAAATGTGTTTCTAGATATTAGGAGCAGACTCTTAGGAATGGGGCTGGACCAAGAGGAGTGAGCTGAGGGTTCCACAGGAGAGAGGAAAGCAGGGTGTCCCACCAAGATCGGCTTCGTCCTCGTGGGATGGGGCAGAGCAGGAGCAGAGGATGTAACAGGCAGTCTGCTGCAAGGTTGGGGGTGAGACTGGGGCCTGGGTTTGGAGGCCAGGAGGGAGGGTGAAGCTCTAAACTCTCCTATCTGCCTTGATATCCTGCTTGCCTCCCTGGCAGGTTTGGGTGGCAGGTTCCCAGGGAATGCCTGCTGGAGTTGTGAGCTGGGATAAAATGGTGAGCAGCAAGAAGGAAAGACCTGTGTGGCCCACTGGAGCACTGGAGGTACAGGGAGGGGGGAGGCCCTAGCAGGCGGAGGTAATATGTCCACTCTACAGGAGAAACAAGAAAGTGAGATGTCGTTAAATGTAAGCCAACACAGGCACGTGATAAAAATCCGGCAGCTCCTGCTGAGGGTCCAACAGGATGTTTCCAGGCCACTACGGTGTCTGAGAAAGGGCTCTGCATTGTCAATGGTGTTCTGAGAGAGAGATGGACCCTAGGATCAGAGGAAAGCATAGAAGTCCCATTCTTCCTGCTCAGTTCTACCTATAAAAACCTAAAGTGTTCTACAGCGTGGGCTGTGTCTGATCAAGTCAAAATGGCCTGATCAAGGAAGCCAAATAATTTCCTTTTTTGTGGGGAATTAAAAAAGAAAAAGTGCTTTTGAACAATTATTCCTTCTTTAACTTTGTGGCATCTGTTTACAGAAACTCTCAGAATTAAGGGTTTGGAGACAGTTGCCATCTTTGGGAATACAGAGGAAGGCAGTGAGCCCTCATGTCTCTGAATCCAGAAAAGATCTAGATAGCTCTCTGGTTCCCAAAAGACTACAACTTACTTGATGTGGGGGGTTTTCTTGGAAGTGTGTGTGTGTGTGTGTGTGTGTGTGTGTGTGTGTGTGTGTGTACCATGACCAAAAGTACGCAACAGACACATTAATGTACAGGCAAGAACACATGCACAGAGGCCAAGGGACACCCTTGGCTGTCATCCCTCAAGTGCTATCATTCCATCTATGTGTTTTGTATTTTGAGACAGGGTCTCTCCCTAGCCTGGAGCTTGTCAAGTAGGCTGGCTGGCAGCCCCAAGGGTCTGCCTGCTCTGTACTTACCAGGCCATCTCTCCAGTCCTCCTCTCCCTGAGTCATATTTAAGTCCAGGAAGTTTTGTGATGAAGGAGACATTTTTTTTTTTCCTGCTAGCGCCTCTCTGCCCAGTTTCAGCATCATCCACAGATTCGTAGTCATGGACGAGCCTTCCAGGGTCTTAGCAAACCACAACCAGAGCCAGTGGCAGGGTCAAAATTCATACTGTGAGGACCCCCATTTCCAAGGCAGAGCTCGGTAAAGCCAACCTGCTCAGGAGGCAGACCCTGGGCCGGGTTCTGAGTTTGTTTTCCTGTTGGTTTTGCGGCTGCTCCCGCTATGTGTGAGGAGAAACTAGGCCCGGAGATAAACACCACAGCGACACAGGAGGTGTTTCTTTCCCCTTTCAGAGTCTGCAGAGTCTGCACTGTGCTCCTCCTCACCAGCACCACAATTTCCTCTGGCACTTGAGACAGACATATGTTATTTTCAGCTCCTTGACTTCCTAGCACGCTGTGTCACTGCACACATGGCCCAGGCCCCGAGAATATAAATACATGCGGGCGTCTGCATTTCCACTGCTGGACTCACGCCACACTTTTTTTTTTTTTTGTAATACTACGTATCTCGGGTGGATTGTCATCACAGCTGAGCCATACGACAGAGTCCCCTAACAAGCAATGGCTTCCACTCTCAAAAAGGCTCAGCCGTTTCCAGTCCCCACCTCCAAACCAGCAAATGCTCAACTTCAGTCCAGGGGAAAAAAGCTTTGAATAACCCTTCTATGACTCGTTCACCTACAGATGAAGCAGCCTGTTAACTTACAGGCTGAGGTTTGTGAAGGCCCGCCCACTTCCCGACAGGACTCATTACAACAGCAAGAAAGCCTACAAGGAGCTTCAGCTTTGCAGATCCTCTGATAGTAAACAGGAGACAATTTGCAAATTCAAACGTGCGGGGCAGGTTGGCACCCTTTCAGCTAGCAGAGGGTTTAGGCTGGGTGCCAAGATATGGGAAAGGAGACTTTTTAAAGCCTACCCCTTCTGGGGGTTGCTGCAGGGCGGGTGCGGATGGAGCCGGGTGCTGATTTGCTCTCGATTCTGCGAGATGCTTGGGAGCCATAGCAAACGATGACAGACAGGAAGCTGAGAACAAAACCCTGCAACTTCCATTTCCTGTGGACTTCCTATGAGCCTTTGCCTTATCTTAAAGGCAGTGCCATGGCCTTCATAAATAACATTCCCTCCTGGGCTGGAGAGATAGTTTAGTTGGTAAAATAGATGCTAACTTGAAAGCGTGTGTTCATGAGCTACTACCCCAGAACCAATGAAGAAGGAGGAGAAGGAAGGAAAGACAAGGAAGAGGAGGAGGAGAGGCATAGTGGTACAGTCTTACAATCCTGGTGCTAAGGAAGCTGAGTCAGGCAGGTATCTGGGGCTCACTGTACAGCCAGGCTAGCCTCTTTATTGAGTTACCTGGCAATGAAATATCCTGTCTCCAAAAAAAAAGAGGGGAGGGGGGAACTACCTGAAAACAACACCCAAGGTTGCCCTCTGCCCCACCTACACAGAAATGGACATGAAAACTGGTAACAGACAGAGAAGCTGAAGCTTAAACGCTTAAACTAATAAAAGCTTTGCCAAGACCACTCAATACCAACAAGAACCTACTGGAGGGGAAACAAGCTGGACATTAAAGCCACCGCCTGACCAAAATGTGGGTCTACCGGTGCTGTGTGCATTCCCTGCTGGCTATGGACGTTAGCCGCACCATCCCTTGTGATATAAACAGGATTATATAGGTAGGAGGATAAAAACGTGATACCGCTTGCCCAAGGCCACTTAAATAATAACCAAGCGAGCATGTGAGCTGTGGCTGTTAACTCCATAGCCTATTATATACAATACACAAAGACTATTTCTATAAAGGGCCAGAGTGTTAAAATCTCAGGCTTCTTCTCATCCACTCTTACAACTACAAAACTCTGCAACTTAAAAGCAGCTGGCAAATTATATATACACGTTGTGTGTGCATGTGTGTATATATGTGTGAATGTGTGTCTTTTGTGTGTGTTTGTATGTGTATATGTATTTATGTGTGTATATATGTGTGAATGTGTGTCTTTTGTGTGTGTTTGTATGTGTATATGTATTTATGTGTGTAGATATGTGTACATGTATATATGTTGTAGGTGTGTATTTGTATGTGTATATGTATGTATGTGTAGGTATATGTATATTTGTGTGTATGTGTATATGTTGTGTGTGTATTATGTGTGTATTTGCATGTGTAGATATGTATATGTTGTATGTATGAGTGTGTTTTATGTGTGTATTTGTATGTGTATATGTATGTGTAGGTATGTGTGTATTTGTGTGTATGTATATATGTACAGATATGTGTATATTATGTATGTATGTATGTATATGTATGTGGGTATTATGTGTGTGCATGCATACTGGACTGGGGAAAGTGGAAGCATTGCTGATCCACTCAGAGACACCTATGCTAGCTTCAGTGGTCTGATTCTCTGTTCAGCCTTGGTCTCTGGCACCCTAACTTAGTGGGAGATTCCACAGTGGCCAGACCCATTGTGCAATACTATTCAACCTTTTAAATGAAAACATTCAGACATAAGCTACATGGATGAACCGTGAAGGACTTTATGTTGAATGAATATGCCTGACATATTCTACTCACATCATGAGACTAGATGGAGAAAATTACAGACATAACAGAAACTAATGTGTAGAACTTCTCTTTGGGAAAATGAGATAATCACGCTGGTGGTTATACCGATGTGAAAGCATCTAATGTCACTTAATCACTTAATTGTATATTTAAGAATGGTTTGAATCAGCTGACCTGAGCAAGTGGAAGTTCACGGACTCCAGTATGACAGCTGGGGAACCAGCATAGGAACAAACCAAGCCTCCTGAATGTGGGCGTCAGTTAGGAGGCCTGGGCAGTCTATGGGGCCTCTGGTAGTAGAACCAGTATTTGTCCTGAGTGTGTGAATGGACGTTGGGAGACCATTCCCTGTGCAGGGATACTCTCTCAGCCTAGATACACACATGGGGAGGGCCTGGGTCCTGACCCAAATGATGTGTCAGACTTTGATGATCCCTTGTGGGAGGCCTCACCCTCCCTGGGGAGTGGACGGGGGCGGGGAATGGGGGTTTAGTGGGGGGCATGGGAGGATGGGAGGGAGAAGGAACTGGGATTAGTATATAAAATAAGATAGTTTTTAATTTAAATAAAAATTTATTTTAAAAAAGAATGGTTTGGATAATGACTTTGTGTACATCTTATCACACACATAAAAAGGAAAACAAATGCTAACTTCTAAAGCCTGGCCCAATACTGTGCACTGGAAACTAAGGAAGATTGGGGAAGGCAGCCTCAGAGTCCATGGAACCTGGCCACCTGCCCACTGCCGTGCATCCTGAGTGGCCTCTGTGAGCCAAGTTCTCCCTAGAGGGTCAGGCGGCCTTTGGTTAGTCTCATCTGA